TCTGGCGTTCACCCGTGATTCCTGTCTCCATTAGCTGCACGGGCTGGGAAGTCTTTTGTTTATATAAAAGGTTTTCAGCTCCAGAGGCCAGGGCCGCGTCTTGTTTTGCTGCCTGCGGGCCTGGCCCTGTGCCAGCACATGTCGGGGCCTCAGCAAACACTTGCCGGCCGGCGCCCCCAGCTCCACCTGAGCTGAGTCTCCTTTCCCGTCGTGCGGCCCGCTCCTGGCATCACTCAGACCGGGCTCGCTGCCCTGCTCCGCCGACTCAGAGGCCCTCCGCCCACCACCTCCATCCGCAGCCAGCCAACCCACCTGGAGACCCCAGCCTCTCGCGTCACCACCGCCGGCATGGGCTAGTAGCCGGGAGCGTCAGCCTTGGTCTCCTTGGTTACCGCGTTACCTCGGTACCCATAGCAACCAGAAAGCTTGGTCCCTGCCACTATCCGCCGGCAGAGGGAGCAAGGGAGCCTGCGACAAGAGAGAGAAAGGGGCGGTCAGGGGAAGGAAAGGACAGAGAAATTCAGGCCCTGGAGGCTTTTCGCTGAAGGGGTTTTGGAGATTAGAGACCTGCTAACGCTGAGCCCCTGCCTATTCCAAGCACTGGTCTGAGAGCCCTGTGTGTGATACTTGATTCATCTTCATAACGACCCAATTTATATCTAAGAAAATTAAACACAGAAAATTTGACTAACTTAACCCAAAATTACAAAGCTACCAAATGGCCTACGTAAAATTTAATCCAAGTAGTTTAATCACAGAACTCCCATTCTGTGCTATGTTTAAGTGCTTATCAAAGGCTGCCACAAGCAAAGTCAAGAAGAGAATCCAGGTCTCTCGGTAAACCCAGAACTCTCTTTTTTTAATACCAAATACATGACCCATGGAGAGTGTGTTTTGTGTGTGTGTGTGTGTGTGTGTGTGTGTGTGTATGAAAAGCCAAAGCAAAAACAAATACACACACACACACATCTTCAATCCACACTTCTCAAACTTTTCTGTTCCGAACAAAGCTGCACCTGTGATGAACTTATTTTATCTTTAACTTTCTAGTATGCTGTTGTTTTTATCTCTGTTTTTATATACTACAAGTAGGATATATGGTTGGTCCTGTAGTCACTATATAAACTTCTGTGTTTAACCACATTTCATCTATTTTAGTACTGGACTAATAATCTTAACTATTATAGTTAATATACTAATCTTTGTATCATTGCTTTCTGCATTAATATGCCTGCTAATACCCACTTAAGAAAACATTTAATGATTTCCTCTGGCAGATCCAATGACATAAGATTATAACCACCATGGATAAGAGAAGACAATGATAGTCTTTAGGTTATGAGTCTGGATTTTGGAGTCATGCAAACCTGAGTTTGAGTCGTGGTACTGCCCCATTTACCTGCTGGGCTGCCTTGAGTGAGTTAACCAGTCTAATCAGTTAAATGAGAGAACAGTACACTTAGTCCATACATGATGCAGCATGAAAGAGTGAATGAAACAATATATATATATTAAGCCTTTAGCTCTAAGCCAGGTCCATAGTAAGTGGTTAATGTTAAAAAACAGCAAGAAATAGCGGTGGTGGTATAGCTATGTTGGTTGCTACCATAGTGCTCATGGTATAACTTCACCAGGTCCTTCCTTTAAATATAACACAAGACAAGTTTCAGGTAGATGTATAATACTACTAGTCTTCTTGTGCAGACTGTATTTCCCATACAGGTAAGATCTTCAAATTATCAGGAAATATATTTTCAGCATTCATCCATTCGTCCATCCATTTATTTATTTATTCAATAATATTTATTGAAAGTTCATTGTTCTAGCCCCAAAAATACTGCAGTGAAGAAAACAAAGCTCTTCTTGTTTTCAAACTTACACTTTTAATAGGGTCAGAAAGGCAACAAACAAGTATAAATATATGTCGGGTAATATGAAGAAAAATAAAGCAGAATAAAGAAAAATAAAATAATTATGAGCTCT